GTCTTGAATCTATATGTGACCTCAGTTACCTCTCAAGGTCTACTGCAGCAGAAAGTTAGGTTATATGTGTACTCTAAAACCTCGAAGGTTTATTAATTTTGATTGAATAGGATGTTTTGTACTTCAAGTGAATGTCTTATAGAAAATTGTAAGTATTGCTATTTTAAATACTTTCTATAATAGTAAGGTAGTTGGTTAATCATTAGGTCATTCATTTATCATATCTAAATGTAGCAAAATAGATAGGTTAATGATCTCGAGATAGAAATGGGAAAAAACTGTTATATTTTGTTAGTTTCATTCAAAAGCTCTTGAAAAGGATTTTCTACAATAGTAATCCTTTAAACTTTAACAATCAACTTATAAAAGTAAACATGAGATTTAAATAAGCATCCTTTTCAGTATGTTATATATTAACTTTAGAAATTAAATCAGTATGCTTATAAAAGGCCAGTAAATTCAAAAAGTATGATTATATATAGAAGGGAAAACTATAATCATTACATTAAATCATAAAAAAAACATTGGCTGTCTTGTTCAATATTTATGGAAATACTGAATGTGATAAAATCTATTCAGCAGTTCATTAAATGTATAAGTGACAACTATCAGCCTATAGTAATACGTATAATATATAAATGGAAAAATATAAACATAAGTTCAGACACGTTTAAACCTGTATGCAGCCCTACAGAGGTATAGTAACACTATTCACTTTTAAAACACACACACAATACACCTATAGAACCTTAGTAACACCATCAACCTGAAAATTATAAACTAACATGTGTAAAGTGAAATATTTTGTCAAGAACAATAAAAATCATAGTTATATGGATAGAGGAATAGCAATAAGATTGTCATTAAAAATAATGGTTTTACTTGTAACTTTAAGGGACACATAATTAAATCTAGCCACAGATGATGTAGTCATTGAGACACCCTACAATGAGCTCATCATCCTCTGCTTACACAAGTAACACTGTCCATCTTTGTAAAACCTATATAAGAGAAAACTATAAAGTTCATAAGATTAAAAATAGTAGACTTAATGTTTTACATATAAAGCGAAACTGTAAGCACAAGGTTATGAAATTAGATTAAATTATCAATTTTAAGACTTTGTTATTATAAAGTTAATGTCATGTTGAGCTACATCATACCAACGCTCCCTCTGGTGCCACTTTGTGGCCTTTAGCAACACGCCTTCTGTTGAGTAACACTCGAATCATGATGTTATGTCTAACAACATGCTTTCTGGATAACTTCAATTGTCATGGCGGTATACAACTTTCCAGCAACGCGCTCTCTGGATTCACTTTGTGGAACTATGACGTCATCATCTCTTCCCATCCCCATTGCCTGAAGTCGACACACGTGTCGCCGTCTGATGGGGTGCCGTGAAACAAGCCCGATAACTACTCTTAAGAGGAGGGGGAGTCTAGCAAAGATAGTCTAAGAACTTGAATACTTTTTAAATTTGAAATCTATCTGTAGGCCAATTCATGATACACTTTCTATTGTTTTTGCTAGTCACTCCCATCTGCAAATTAGCTATAACAAATCAGAATGACCAATACTTTTTGGTATGACCAAGAACACCATTGCCTTCATTTGCGAAGCTCACTGGTAGGATCAGAATCTTGAAGTAATCCCTGGAATCAATTTATATCAAGTGCTATTCACTGATGAGCTAGAGAGATAGATAGAAAGTTTGATAGTTATATCAATAAAAAGGGATCCTTTGTAGACCTGATTATAACGCCATGAACGTGTAGTAAATAGTGCTCTGACAACTATACAAATTGTGCTTACTTAATTTGACTGAGAACAAGAAAGAAAAGAAATATTGTTTGAAATAACTGCAATGGTAAAAAAACATTTTCTTATTTCCTCATATTTAAGTAATTAACCGATAAATAATCTACAGAAGACCTTAAGAGAAATAATTATGGACACACAGGTGATACACAAACAGGAATTATAATGAGTGAGAAACTGCATCATAAAAGAGGTCAATTTTTTATTAGTACAATGCGTTATAAATGAAAATATAAAAGAGAAGCTAATGCTTTGTACAATCTGCTATTATTATATAATTTATTTATGAAACTCGGATATCTGATAATCAGTCAATACTAAAGATGATGGTCTCATTCATACAATTTAGTCTCCATAGTCTCTTTGAAGTAAAATACTAAGTTCAAAGTATTCAAAATTGTTAACAGATCGTGTCTAGACCTATAAGAAGGATTTCAAGGTGTTGTTAACAGAATGTCATACTGCTAACAGATCATTGGTATAGTTGCTATATCAACCATTCTCTGTCAATTTTTGCTTGCTGCAATTGTAAAGTACAAGCTTCGAGATTGAATCAGATGTTTGCAATCACAACTGGATATTGTGTCAGTGTACAGATTATTAGAAATCGCTGTCACAAAGCCGTTCTGTGTGCCAGACACCAAATGAAATTTATTTCATTTATAGCAAGTCACACACACATAAAATAAAATTCACTTGCAGTGGTGCCAATAAAATGCCCAATGGGGCAAGATCAAATGGAGCAATACTCTTTTTACAGACGAGTTCTGCTTCACGTTAAAGACATATATCAAGCTTATACTTACTTGGAACTAAATGCATTCCATTTTGTTACAATAATGTGATGTTTATGATGTTGGTGGAGGAAATATGATGTGTACAAAAATAAGCATTAGAAAACCTACCGACCTCCTACATCTTACAAAATTGCATCATTAATGAACACGTGAAAGGGATCACATCCTACAGCCCTTCGTGCTACTATAAGTTGTTCAACTGGCCTTGACTTAAGCCTATTGGGTCATAACATCCACATGTTACACTTTTCGATAGATTCCTTTATGAATACTTACCCGACTAAAATCACATCTAGCATGTATGGAATGCTCTTGTGAGATGCATCACATTCTGTCAAATATCACCAAACAACAAAAATGCCCTGAAAACAGCTCTTAAAAGGATGGGCAAGGGTAACTCTTGACCTTGTAAACTCACTGATTTCATGCATGTATCGTTGGTATTAGGCTGCCATTTCTGTTTGTTGTGACCATGCTCCTTATGGAAATGAAATGTCACGAGCTGTAAAGATGTAACACTAACACGTTAATTTATGAGTGTAAACCTAATGATAAATCTTTTGAATGTTACATTACAAGCCTGACCATAAGGTGTCTGATTTGAATGAAACTAAAGTGAATGGGATGAAGGATGGATTGATAGTACTTTATAACTGTGTTTTTGCCTTGTGATAGCTACAATATTACAATTTCTGATTATCCATTAACTCTTTTGAGCAGTATTCTTCACCATCAAACTGCTTGAAACTTCCGAGAATACCAGTCATCATATCTTTACCATTAACCAAATCAAACATAAAAACTTTTTACGTAAAATCAATGAAAACATGTCATGTATGGCAATCAACGAAACTTAGCCTTTCGCAGATATGTTAACTTTATTAATGACCTACATCGCCCTAAGCCCAAAATTAAAAATCATGTAGAACAGCAAGACCCTTTTGTTGCCAAATTCTCGTCTAATGATTTATATTTTCATGTATTTTTTTACGTTGTTCTCAGAGTGTAGTTTACAACTTCATAAACAACTTCTGATGTTTAGTTTGCACTTAGTCCATACTAAAGTGGAAGAAGTATATATCTGACACTTGATGCCTATAACGTAAAATGGTTGACTTTTGCCTCCGTTTGTTTGAAATACTGATTATTTATTCATTATTTCCCGGCCTGGCATGGCCAGGTGATTAGGGCACTTGACTCACAATCTGAGGATTGTGGGTTCGAATCTCCATCCCACCAAACATGCTTGCCCTTGTAGCCATGGGGGCATGAAAATGTAATGGTCAATCCCACTATTGATTGGTAAAATAGTCCAAGAGTTGGTGGTGATGTGTAGCTTCCTTCCCTCTAGTCTTTCACTGCTAAATTAGGTATGGCTAGCAGAGAGAGAGCCCTCATGTAGTTTTGCACAAAATTGAAAACAAACCAAACCAAATCATTATTTCCTACACACAGAATATCCAATTACTGACTTTTTGTAGGTGCGAAACTAGTAGTTTCATACAGGATTTACTAAAAATTCTTAGCCTACACAGGTGTACAGATATTAAAACAAAGATGTACTTCATAATTTTAAATATGGGCAAAGTCTTATATGAAAAATCACAAAACTTTATGCTCTTATGATTAATCTGTATTCTTTGTTGAAGGATTTTAAAATCTAGCTTTCACAAACACCTAAAAAAAAATTCTGTCACTCCAGTAGAAAAAGATATTTGGTTATTTTATCAGTTAGAATAACGACAAGATGAATGCTAAACTTTCAGATCTTTTAATTAATTCACTTTTGTACATTTTTTTTCTGATTATAGAAAAGGTATACAGTAACATATGGAAGCAAACAGTAATACTAAACCATTAAATTTAAATCTACATTTTTATTTCTGATAATTCAGCTTAAATGCATTTTCTCTACTGTTCTGAATTAAGAAAAGCCAGACAAAATTATCTTATGCTGTTAGGTCTTCTGACGAAGAAGCTAACACTAACCTAAGTATGTATGTTCTTGTAATATTTTCGCAGGTTTTTTTATTATAATGCAACTATTTTTCAATGAACCAATTTCAAATAATCAGAAAATTAGATTGTAACCGTCAGTATCAAATAACATGTTTAAAGCTGAATTTATATAAATTAAATTATAGGTAATGAGCAGTGCACACAAACATACTACTGTACTTGAAGCTGATTTTACCAATAATACTTAATAAAAAACAATTTTATGTAGGTCTTTCAGACATTCTGAAAATAGTAAATAAATGAAAATATATATTATTATTTTTCAGAATTTGTAGTGCATATTGGAGGGACTTAGGCATTTTGACAATAAAGTTAACAAAAAGATCTGTAATTTCCAGATAATAATAAAACCTTTTATTCTAGTCAACATTCTGCCATTGTGGCTTCATTAGATCTAGTAGTATATGAACTTTTTTATAACTTTATTGTCAAAATGCAAATATACATTTCCAAATTTTATGAGTATACCACAAACCTTATTGCAACATATGAAATTAGTAAACATCATTAAGCAAAAGAGGGTACACCATGTAGCTAAGGGGTTAAAGTACCCTTAACAACAATTTTCTGCTTCCTAACTTTTGTTTACCCATGCACAAACAAAATGATATTTACATAAATATTAAAACAAGTAATCTTCCATACAATGTCATTTTTATACAAACATAATCTACTGTAAGACGTCACGTGCTCATGTTGCTGGCATTCTTAATTACTTCATGGTTTATTTTAGAAACTAAAATAAATTGATTAGTGTCTTTACTAAATCTGTACCGTCAAATATCATGCCACAGTTGTGGTTCTCCACACTTAGGGGTTTAATTATCTTCAAGTATGAAATGATTTTCTTCATCACAAGAATGCTTTTCATCAAATAGTTGAATTATGGCAAGAAGAAACACAGACCAGAAGTAGTCATTTATAGTATATTCCACCACCTATGATAATAACATTAAAATTTTACAGTACTCAGTTCACAAAGCAAGTTAAGTTTAAAGTGCAAATGATGGAGACAACTAATGACCATTGACCAATATGAGACCCAAAAACTGCTCAAAGCTGTAATTTCAAGGCTTTAACTCATTAAACATGCCCATCTGTTGACTAGAACCTATGATGTTAGAAGATAACATCAGGAAACAATATCACCAGCTGCACAGAACTGTCAGCTCAGGAACTCGGCTCGTGATGCTTTCTCCAATGCTGATACCCACCTGTAGCAGAAAGCAAATACATTTTATTATCATGGAGCTTTTCTTCAAATCATCAGCTAGTTCACTAACACTGAAATTTCACAATTCTTTAAGTAATGGAAAGGAAATTGTAAAAGAAGGTTAATATTCACAAAATGAAATTTCAAAATTAAAATAGTCACTTTCATAAATTATTCTTATCATTTTGTTATTTTGACATGTACAAACAATTATTTTTGCTAATCTAATTTACCTAATTTGTGATAAAAAACAAAGAAAAGCAACTCTTCATTCTAATGCAAGCAAAATAAAGTGTTTTATAAATTTTACCTTTCTTGTTCAGTGGGATCAGCAGCTTGAAAATAATATACTTTTTTCTTGTGGAAGAGTTTAAAAACATTTTCTCTTCCATCAACATTGTCAGATTTCTCAGGTAGTGCTACAGTGTAGCCAGGAACTGGCATAGATGTGAGAGCTTTCTCTTCCTGAAGGTAACAAGAGATTAAATTATAACTATAAACTGAAGGAACTTGAATTAGAAAAAGTCCACATATACTATCAAATGGTATAGAGCAGAGATAAAATCACTAAACAGGTTGATTATACAAAAAATGTAAAAAGTTTACTTATATTAGGACCTTCACACATTTGTAGAACACTTCATTTATTTTCACATGCAAAACAGACTGATCATGTGATTTTTAGGGTGACTGTTTGAGTCCTATAAACACAGATTTGTAATCATGTATTGGTTATCTTACAAAATAATAGGTGAAAGCAAAGATTTGTTTGACTTTTCTGACAGTGAACCACAAAGTAGAAACATATCTATGAAAAGCTATTTTTTGACTAACTGTTTCAAAGACAGGGTAAAAAGACACTACAAAAACTATATTATGGCAGCTGACAGTCAAACCAAGAACCACAGTGAGACAAAATAAATGAAAGTTTGCAATGTGGTCTTATGAGGCAAATTTCCCCATTTTCAATACCTAGAGTATAGTACAAATATAAAAAAATCACAGTTTGGATTTTTTTATTTCCTTAGAAGGCAAGAAAATTCAGGGTGTTCTTTAGCATTTTTTCTTACAGTACTGTTAAAAGAGCATGACTTCAGTGTTACTCTTAGCTATTACAATTGCTACATTTCATTCTAACTGACAATCACTGGATATAAACTTTGATACTGCATTCATTACCATATTTCTCTGGTAGTAGCTGTGATCCAATTACAGACAATACTGTTTAGTACATGGGAAACAGTTGAACAAGATCCCTTATGATGTACTGTGGAATCTATACCACATGAGTTTAGACTATCATGTCAGTGAAAGGTGCCTCAACTCAGTATCAAGAAAAACTTGTAAAGTGGAAAGACAGTATATGTATCCAAAGGCAAAATTACTAAAATAGCTTTGACAATTAGATAACATACAAAAAGAAATAAAAGTATCAAAAAAAATTCTACTTATACCTCCAGACAGCATATATACCATGAACTCGCACTACTAGTATAAGCTGATTATCCATGTATTAAAATAAATCAGTAAATTCATTTACATTACCAGATGATAATATATACATAACGGTTTAATTAAATTTTCATACACACTGATTTAGATTTGTTAACAGACATTAGATCCCACTAAACCAACCAACAGACCCTGATTCTAAAAATGGTGAAATAATAGGACTAGATTAATTTCTTATTATAATTTCATCATGATTAGCTACCAAGAAGTCATGTTGAAGAAGTAAAACTTGCCAAAATACCTTTATTTTCGTGTTACTGATGTAGAAAGATGCACTTGTTGTACGCTTTTCAATAAGGAACTGTTTTAATCAAAAATT